GCAGTGTTTTTCAAACAACATTTGTAAGTGTTGTCAAAGGCAGCGTATGTTGCGTTCACGTCAGAGTCCGCCAGGGTTGGTTCAATGCTTTGCAAAATGCTCGCCAACAGTTTTAGTGATTTTTCTTGTTGCGAGCGAATTTCAAACTCGTTTAAAATTCGCTCGTGACAAGAAAAGCACAGGCTAATATCTGCTGAATGTCTGACAACCTTTTGACGAACATTTGTGACTTTGAATGAACCCTGGCGCTTCGCCAAAAGTCGGGTATGTTCGCCCCTCAGTTTGGATTGGGGCTTTACATGATAAAATAAAGGCATGTGATTAATTTTCTTTCTTGTTCAAAGGACCCCCCCACCCCCCAAACAATCATCCAAACAACATTTCTCTCAACCCTGAGCCTTCAACCAGCAGACAAATTCAGTCTTGTAATCCTCCTTCACAAGGTTATAGCAAGAATTTCTTACCATAGGGGAGCCAAGATAACACCAAAAAAACACCGTACACACAGCGCACTGAGAAATAGCCATATGCAAGTACACACACCATTCAAATTCTTGGAACCCATTCTGTAACCCAGAAGACATAGTCTGTCACACCATCCACAGTCACGGTTTCATGAAAGAACGTGCATCCAAATACAAAATCTTGCCCAACACAGTCAAAATACAAACAAGAACAAGTAAGTGAAAGCAACATTTTTTTAGCTTAATTTATTTGATACAGCCGTTTTCTTTGCCATTACTTTAATTTTGTTGAGTCGACTTCTATCTCGTGCATTGATTCGTGAGCAAACAGCCAAACAGAGTGATCGTCACCGAAAGCTGATGCCATTTTGCATACTGTGTGCAACGGCCGATTTATTCCAAGCATATCTTTAAAAAAAACATGAAGAAAAATTGTCTTAATTCCTCCCAATTCTAAACAATGCTCTTTAATTAGGTGTATTCCTGCTTGTGTTGTCTACATGTTGGGCAAGATTCGTATATGTGTGCATTTTATTTCATGAAAGCATGACAATCCTCAATCGTGTTGTTTGCTTGTTATGGCATGGCACAAATGATGTTGGTTGTGTAAGTGTCAACATGTAATTGGGTGACTTAGTTCAGGGGTGGGCTCTGTATAACCAAGAAAAATGGAGGGAATGAGAGAGGGCACAGCTGGTTGACATGATGTCATTGATTAATTGTCAACTCTACCATCATCACCTTAGGCTTGACTGCAAAAATTTTAATTCGTTCAGTTCCTACACCATCGCTCACTGTGTGTGTCTGTCACACACACACACACACACACACACACACACACACACACATAAACACACAATATAACAATGTTTTTACTTGATTAGCCTGACTCAGGATTTACAATATTTACATGGACTTTCACAACCAAATGAAATCTGCAATCCCCATTTGGCTCTATTTGGGTTTTTTTTACCGCAATTCCTCTGTGCTAAATAAACCAATTAATTTTTTGACTTCTTGTCTTCTGCTGCACAGTGATTCACATTTCGTTGTTTTTCCATGTCTCCCTTTTGCCTTCCCTGATTTCTACATCCGACACTTTACATCGTTACATGTTGTGTTGTCATCTTCTGAAGGAATCGTGGGCCTCCAGCACTCTAGGGTTCTGGTTTACAGAGTTACTTGAGCGTAACCGGCAGTTTCAGGCTTGGATCTTTGAGGGGCGACCAAACTGCTTCTGGATGACTGGCTTCTTCAACCCGCAGGGCTTTCTGACAGCTATGAGACAGGTACACACAGCATCGGGCTACCTGTCCACCACTGAGGTGGGGTACCAGAGGGTAGGCAGAGTGAGAGCTGCCCTCTTGTACAAATACATACTTGTAGTGAGAGATGAGGAGAGCACAGGTCCCACATTAAGCCTTCATGGCTGGTGATCCTGTCAGAACCGGGAATGGCCCAGTATATCCATCCATCCATCTTTTTCCTGATCTACTTATCCTCGCGAGGGTCGTGGGGTATGCTGGAGCTTATCCCAGCTGTCTTCGGGCAGTAAGCGGGGGACACCCTGAACTGGTTGCCAGCCAACAATCATTCGTACTCTCAATCACACCAAATGAGAATTTAGAGTGACCCATTAACCGTTGGTTGATGGAGTGTACTACTTTGCTCTCCAGTGTTTTCACCGAACCTCTATTACGGTCTTGTTATCGGCATTGATTCTCTTGGTGAAATGTCATATGTCACCTCCACAAGTCTGTGACTTTCTGCTCATATGAGAATACATTTATTTCTCCCTGGGCTCACACAGGAGATCACCCGGGCCAATAAAGGCTGGGCTCTGGATCGTATGGTGCTTTGCAACGAGGTGACCAAGTGGATGAAGGATGACATCACGCAGCCCCCTGCCGAGGGAGTGTATGTCTGCGGCCTACATCTGGAAGGGGCCGGCTGGGATCGCCGCAACTGCAAACTCATTGACTCCAAACCAAAAGTCCTTTTTGAAATGATGCCCGTAATCCGGATGTATGCAGAGAATAACGGTAAAATTAAGAAATAGTGTCTGTGGGCACAGAATGAATGTCAAACCTTTTCCTCCATATTAGGGTACAGGGACACTCTTTCCAGCCTGTGCAACTCCCCTCTCAATATTTGCCTCCCACACACTCCAAACGTATTGATTGATGGCACAAGTGTTCACGTTAAGAAAAGACTATTTTCAAGCAGGCAGCAAGCACCATGACACCATTCCTCCTCAGTCCATAAACAGTTTTTAAACTCCCTGCTTTGTCTGTAGTTGAAGCACATTGGTAAGGGATGCGTGGACACACGGGCAGGTAGATTGAGCATAAACGTTCTTATTGGAACTGTTTCTAGTTTGTCATCTGAAAAATGACTTTCATCGGTTTCCTTCAGAAAAGATGTTTGACTTTGCTGATGAGGGCTTCAAGAGACACTGGAATTTATGAAATGTTGGCAATCTTGATTAATAATCAATCAGACTTTATCCAGAAAGCACTTTTCAGGTATTAAATGTACGGCCAAGTACAATCAAATCAAACAAAAAGAAGCAAAAAAAAAGAAAAACACAAATACAATGTCATACACACAGGTCAATTGTGCAGTGTCACCGTTTCGCTCGAGAGGGAATGCAACTTCATAGCATTTTCACACAGATTTAAGTAACTTATTGACATTGTCCATTGAAGTTAACCAGTGAACAGCTGAACTCTGGGTCGAAGGATGTTAAGTTTCTTCCGGATTCAGAATTTCTGAAATATTTTGAAAATATGCTATCATTCATTCTTTATTTTCGTACTGCCAAGTATGCTCATAGTCACTGAGAATAGTTGATCCTACTGATTCTAAGCAACATTTAAATTGGAAGTCAACCCCAAAATGTTCTTTCCAATACATGCCTTCACTATTCCAAACACTGCCTTCTGAGCCACATTGCGCTTGTGAAATATGAGTCCAGCAGCAAACTCTACTAATTTTTAGCCATTTCAGGGTGCGGCCATTTTACCACTTGCTGTCAGATGAAAATGACCTCACGGTTGCTCAGGTAACGACCAATCACGGCTCGCCTGTTTTCTGAAGCTTAACTATGTTATTTTCAGTTGACGGCAAGTGACAAAAATAGCCGCCCGGTAGCTGGTCAAAAATGGGTGGATTTTACTGTTTGACTCATATTCTACAGACGCAATATGAATCAGAATGCTGTGTTTCGACTAGTGGGGCTGCATAGAACAAATTTGTTTAAAAAAAAAATGGGTTGACGTCCCTTGAACAAGGCAATCATTTCATAGAATGCCGAAATAGTGCAAAACCTAGTGTGCAGACAACATTGCTCATACGCTAAGCCTTTGCTAATCCAAAAATAAGCTCTTTGGCAGTAGTTATCGAGACCTTCATCAGGCGTCAGTTATTACATTTTCATGACATTTTATTCATCATATTTAATACTCATGTATATTATTTATCTTTTCTTTTGCTCACATGTTCCAGGAATCAAAGACAGCCGCCTTTACTCTTGCCCAATCTACAAGAAGCCTGTTAGGACAGACATGAACTACATTGCAGCAGTCGATCTGAAGACGTCACTTGCTCCAGAACACTGGATCCTACGGGGCGTGGCACTCCTCTGCGATGTCAAGTGATTGAAGATGGACAAAAGTGAACACTTCAATATGCAGCAGAATGGCCCGGCATAAACAGTACTGGTGCACTTAAAGTCTGTGCAGACAGGCTTGATGATACCTTAAAAAGCCCTGATTTGATTTGTCATTTGCTTCATGTGATGATCATACATTTTGAGGAATCTATATTGAACCTCATCCTGTTTTTTTTTCTTTCAAATAAGCACACCATGACTGAAATACATGGAAATTTAATGACTTTTGTTTTGATTAAAAAACAAAAATGATAGAATCATTAAAACACCGATACATTTTTTAAAAGTACTATTTTCTTTTCTTACAAAACCACCATACCACACCACTTATCTATAGCTACCCTGTACACAGATACAAGCATATACCTGAAAATACCATTCACATCATCTCTACTCTTGTTCTTTTCTAATGTGTGGTGTTAACTTCCTTTATAACCTTGTGTGTTGTGCGGATAGCCAATTTTGTCACGTTGATGCAAGTGTGAAAACATGGCCCTACATGGATACATTGACTGAATTCATTCATTCATAGACATTCAATGCTCCGTGCTTCTAAAAAGGTAGTTGGTGTTATATTCCCGTATCTCTGTCTGAAACTGTAGTCATGCATTGTTCCTCCAAAATGATTTTTAGCCTTCATTAGAATAAACAATAAAGAAAGAACATCCTGGCCTGCATTATTCAATTAAAACTGAAGTCCCATCATGTCATTGTCATTGGTCACACTGAGCCCAAGTTATTTTTCCATGCAGAACAAAAGTCTCTCTTCTTGTTCTCCACATACTCGAACTTTGCACATCAGCTATAATCCAATGTGTCATGTGTAAAGTGAATGGAATACAGAGTGATTTTTTGGGGGGAGGGTGGGGCGGGGGGTTGATAAACTACTGCAGCAATGGGCTCTTTGAAGTCTGCCAGGATTGAGTCAAAGTACATTCTGGATTGTTTTTGGAGCTGAACTTGCTTGGCTGGCTTGATTCATGCCACTTTGGCTTTCTTAATCCAACAATCAAATTACGATAGATTTCATGATTTCATTTCCCTACAGGCTGTACATGCTACACTTACAAAAAGTGACAAATGTATACTACAGCTGTGGCAAAGCAGCAATTTTTTTTGGAGTCCGTTTGTCTAATATCTACATTTTTTTTCCACCGCCACGAAAAAAAGTCTCCAACCTGATATCAGTGTTGGCTCTGATGCCAAAATAATAATTCAACGGCAGCCTCATGGCATCATATTCCCTTGAGACAGTGAGCGGGTCATTTCTGTGTGAACAAAGTAGGTTTTGAGCTCTCCTTTGCCCTTGACGTTAATGATGCCTCTACAGGAACACATGTAGCCCAGCGTCAGAAGGATGCGGCTTGTCTCCTCCGTCACCTGCAGATGGGGAGGAAAAACATGGTAGCATCCATTCAAATGTTGATACAGTATATACAAGGGATTTTTTTTTGTTACCGAGAACCGATAACATATCCAACCAGACATTAGTATCCCATAAGCATTTCAGAATATGAGTGGATGAGAGCATTAAGTATATTTTCTCATTACCTAATGGACATTTAAATTTCAAACAAAATTTACTGTATGTTAACCTTTTGGTGAGGATTTTGTAAAAATGAAAGTAGGACATATGATTTTGCTTGTAATGAAATTTATTATTATTATTATTATTATTATTATTATTACTGTTACACACTTGCAAAATAAATGTTACGTCTTCGGACGCACGTGCATGGTGGTCCGACGTCACTGGTATGGGCTGTTTCATCAAACTAATTTTATTGTGCGATCGGTTTAATTTTCTAGCCACATGTACTCAGTTTCTGAACGACCTCGATGGCTGAGAAAAGTGAATTTTTGAAGATGACACAACCCTTCTAAATATTGGCATATGACTGCAAATGCATTGCAAATATATTTTCTATTCTTGATCCACAAAGGTTCTGAAGTTCCACTGTATAGCATTCAAGTCTGTAAGCAATGTGCAGGCTGTGATGTAGAACTGAAGAGCTGTCTTATGCCACTCTGCTGGAAAACCATCACAGTTTATCAGTGCTTAGGCAGAGAACAAATAAAAAGAGCGAAAAACGTCACATGGAATGTCATGTTCTTCTTCCATGAATTGGATTGTTGAGCAAGAATAATAGTTTTATCTTTGACGCATCTCTTCTGTCATTTAAAATGTCAACAGTGACAAATGAAATGGTGGTGCTTGGGAGGAAAACAAAGAATCGAGCCAATACAGAACCAGAGAAGCACGCCATCTGATTTGTCCTTGAAAGCTGCACAGATAAGAGGGTTTTTTTTTCCCTTTTCAAGACATCTTATACAGTTTTTTTCACCCCCTTTTCCCCCAAAGATGCACCATTATTGCTGACCACATGCAGTATGTCAAAAAGTTTCTTAAAATACTTTTGCCCGTACATGTCTAATTTGGGAGGCAATTGGACCGAATTCAAAAGCATCTGGAATTTCACTACCCTGGTTTGCATGTATTTTTCCTGTGCTTGTGACTTGGATAAAGCCTCGTCTTCCTGTACACTTGGTATACACCATCATTGGTTTAAACACTTACTGTCTAAGCAAGGCGTCTCCAACTTGTAGACAGGGGCTCTTTGCGGCCCGCAGATTGATATTTTACAGCCCCCTGCTTGACATCAGTTTTTAATGTTAGTGTGACCCCCATCTTTCTTGTTGTGTCTTTGCCTTGGTAGTTTGTGTGTGTGTGTGTGTGTGTGCGTGCGTGCGTGCGTGCGTGCGTGCGTGCGTGCGTTGTGTGTGTGCGTGTGTGTGTGTGTGTGTGTGTGTGTGTGTGTGTGTGTGTGTGTGTGTGTGTGTTACGACTTATGGGCTACCATAGCTCAGGCTCATGACAGCTTTGAGCGAAAATAATTCGGAAGTGACACCATGTGGAAGGAGAAGTGATCCTGTCACCTAGTCCCAGTCAGTCGTGAAGAGTAAGGTTGGCGACGACAGCCAATTTAAATCAAAACAGGAGATGGGATGTTTTTTTTTGTTGGTTTTTTTTTTTTTAATTGAGCACAGAGGCACCCGACATGCCTTGAAGAAGAGAAAGAAATCAGATGTCATTACTCAACTAGACATGCTGACGACTATCCAAAGTACCAGACAGATGAGTGAAAGAACCACATCACCAATCTTGTTCACGTTCTGAAGAACCGTTCATGTTCATCATTGAAACTAATAAGCTTTGAGAAGATTGGATTAGTTGTACTTTTTTCAAATACTTGGGAAAGTCCTATTTTGTGGAATACTTCATGTGGCCCAGACACACCCAGACTCTCTCTCTCTCTGGCGGCCCTGACATCATTTGAGTTTGAGACCCTCTAAGCAATCATTTGGCAGTCAACATGTAGTAAATCAGTATAGCACGAGTGATTAGTCGTGATGCTTTTGCCTGTGTGAACATCCAGCAGGAGGGATTACCTTCCAACATACATTCCTCATACGGGAGCACATACTATATAACAGGGTGAGTGGAAAGCTCGTTTTAATGGCCATACAATGAATGGGATTGAAAAAGGAGTATTCAGGAAGAAAAACATTCGGTGGAAAAAAAGACACAGATTAAATGCCATATGTGTGGTTTTTTTTTTTTTTTTTTTGGGGATCATGAAAAGGTTTTTGTTGCTTACCTGAATTTTTCCCAGTATCCCTGTGCTGTCCATTCGGCTGGCTACGTTCACCGTGTTCCCCCAAATATCGTACTGTGGTTTTTGTGCGCCAATGACTCCAGCAATTACTGGACCATGGTTGATACCTGCGGCAGAACACACGGTCATTATTGGAATTAAAAGGCCATATGCATTCCAACTGTTGTCATAATACTTGGTCGGAAGCAGTATGATTTGTTCTGTTTTTAAAGTTGAAAGAACCTGAACAAGCATAAATTCACAACCTAAAATTTGACTTTGCCACACTGTTTGTTGGTGGCGCGTTTTTGTTGTTGTTGTTAGTACCCCCGGGCTTAAACAAAGCCGCGTCCACACAAAATTCAATTCTTATTTTGTTTTCTGCATTTGTTGTTTTCTTCATCAGTTTGCAGTTTTCACACAGCACAAGCTGCAAGTGTGGTCTTTTCCGGTTATTTCTTTGGCAGGATTTCAGTGCAACATACAGGTTTTGGAATGTTTTAGGTGATTTTGTGTGGTGGAGGATTTGACTGACACTATACGACTAACGTTGCAACAGCTGAGAATAAAAATGAATTTCCGCGAGGGCAGAGCTTAAATGGAGGTCAAATGTAGCCGGGTTCTTGATCCACAACAATGAATAGGTCTGCCAACACCTTTTCCGCAGCAGTGCACAGCATGCGGGCCTCACATCGATCTGGCCAATGAGTTAATTTCTTGAGTGGAAGTTGATCACTGGCAGACAGTGATATTCATTATCCTGTTAAAACAGCAGGTGGGGATTTCCACCACCCTCCCTGTTAGTCTGTCTGGAGACGGCAGGGATGCACTGTCACACACATGCACACTGCTGAGTTAATGGAGCATCACACGCTGTGATCTTTGGGCAGGTTGACGGTATTGAACGATTGCTCTTACCACATGCAGTGAGCTGGCTCCTTCCTGCTTTCATTTTCCCTTCTCCTTTTTGGTCTGGTTGCCACCAGTATATACACAGTATCTAATAGCATGCATGAAATATGTTTTTTGTTTTGTTCTTATTCCTGGTTGTTGCATGGTAGTGAAAGTCCAAATATGAAGGTTCAGTTGAATGTTAACAAGCAACCATCTTCACAGTTTAAGAATGGCTTGCTATCTCGAAAAGGATGGTAAATCCAAAGTGCAGGATAAAAAAAAAAAACACATCCCATAATGACAAATTATTAATTGTCATAGCTTTGCACATTTTCTGTAACTTACCAACTCTGAGTTTGAAATCATTGAAGGAGTGTCGGTTGATCACATCCAGCTTCCCCACTAAAGCAAATGCAAACTCCACCATTGTCCCAATGTGCATGTACTGTCTGTCATGTTCCTGAGAATATAGAACACAACACACAACACAATAGTTTCTAAACTGTTAAAACGGATCAAGTAGCATTTTAAAGTGTGTGTATTTATCTTAACCTGTGAGGAGTACTCTGGTCCAGGCGAAGCATTGAGTCCTGTAGCAGCCATGTATGTGCTTCCAATAGTTTTAATCTTTTCCACACCACTGAATTTAGGTTTTGACAATAACTGGAGAAACACAATATCAAAAAAATGTATTAAAAGACAAAACATACATGTAGCTGTAGATGTAATTCCTGTAAAACAAGAGGAATTATCCAGTGGATGACTTTTAAGAGACATGTTTCTTGTCATACATTGGTAGGAACTGAAACAACAAGTTACTCTTCACCCTCTATCAGATAAATCCGGCAAAATTGACAAGAGTCTGGTAGATATTTACCTCGTCAAAATCAGCGATGATCTCATTGAGAAGTCGGAGACATTCTAATCCCTCCTTGTTGACATCAGATTCTGTGTAAAACTCTTTAAAGTCCGGGATTGAGGCGAACATGACACACACCAGATCATAAGACTGGTGGTATAGATCCTGACGGATAAAAAGCAGAAGTTAAACCCCCCTGCAAAAGATGTGTACATAAACTTGATCCAGCCAAGACTTTCAGTGGGAGCGAACTATCGATTTTGACATCTGCGTCACTTTAGATGCCTTTGGCCTTGGCATTCAAACTTTTGTAAGAGGATGGCTGGAATCACTGAGACTTCGAAAGATTTACGCCAGAAATGTCATTCCTATAAAAGGCTAATGGCCTTTTAAAAAATGACATCCTGAAAAACATTATTGATCATGTGCCAAGGAGGAAGCACACATAGCAAGACAGTTAAAAATGGCAAAATGTGTATCTAAATTGGTTCAATATTTGGTCATTTCAGCTTTCTGCTTTTACGGCTTTTATCTCTAGCACTTTCAAAACAAAAGTGCTTTATAGATTAAACGATAATAATACAATTATTATACTGAAAAGAAACATGAGTTGACCTTAGTTATGCATTTAGAAAGATGTTGAGAAGCAACAAGGAAGTATTAATATGACCTCTGATCACAGTCATGAATTTTTCTGAATTTGAAAACCATGCTGGTGTGTGCATGTTTATTTTTTTTTTGAGCGTGGGGCTAATAAATAAATAAACATTATTAACATGTCCAACCTCATTTTTCCAGTTCCGTGCTAGAAAGTGCTCAGCAACATGTGCAGGCAGAACGTTCTCCAGCAAGACACGGTTGAGGTTTTCCATAGTTTCGATCTCCTCACACTCCTTCTTGAACTTGTTCTTCCACAGAAAGTCTAACCTACAGTAATATTCATTCTGTTACAAGAGGACACAGAGGTGAAGAGACTGAAGGTACACGTGTACAGCTAGTTGTCAAAAAAATAGAGCGGAATCTCTAAAGTTGAACGTTTCCCGCTTGAAAGAACTCTAAATTTGATCAAAATACCCAAAATACGGTTCATAAGGGTTATATAAATCCAGTTTCGCAACCCCATGTCATGCATCTTATCATGAGAGACCTTATATCTCACGAGAGCTCAGCTCGCGGAACACTCCAACAATCAAATTCAAAAGTTCTTTCAGAGCGATTCAGACAGTGGCCAGTGTTCCGAAGCCGACTGCGTTCAACCTTAGAAGATTCCACTGCAAATGCAAGACATGTCCTTTATTCAGCTTGTTGAATCACATGTACTGTATACCGTTGCATCACCTGCAATACGGGTTGGGTGTCTCCCAGTAAATTACAATAATCACAGAAAACGTCAGTAGTTTGCTCAAAAACTGAAACTCACACAGGTTACGATTGGACTGGAAGGAAATAGTGGGGTAAAAAACGAAGCAAACACATCATGGCTACAGCAACTGTGGCCTTGATGGACATTCAAGATTTTGGGGGAACTTCATCTGGAGTTGGCTGAGGCAAGAGTAAGTGCATTAAGAGCCACTGTGAAATAGATGTAACACCAAATTGGGCTATGTGTCGCAATGTGTGTCAAAGCCACTGCTGAGGCAGAGATTGCTCAGTGGTACTATTTTTTTTTAAATACATTTTCCAAAACATTTCTGAATTCAGAATCCAAATTGTGGAGGAAGAGTGGACAGCCACACCAGACGCTAATACACACGAGAGCCAATATCGCAGATGAACTGAAAGCTGCTGTGAAAGTCACTTGGGCTTCCATTAAACCTCAGAAGTATCACAGACTGCCTACTTCTAGGCCACATCAGTGTCCTGATTCTGCTCTTGTGTGTCTCCAGCAGGTGCCGGAGGAGGGCCTTCCCTCCAGCGTGCACACCTGCTGCCAATGATTCATCAGGACTGCCCAATTGTCAATTCTCCGTCGGATTATTCACCCTGTTTGCTGTTCATGCCAAGCGTTGCTTTCTAAACCTCTCATTCTCTTCATAGTCGTGTTTGCTCTCTAGCCCCTTGTTAGCAAGTATTGATATTATTTTGTCTTTGCTCTTGTTTTGTTTTCATGTAATTTGACTTGTCGTTTTGTTTATTTTCTCAGATTTACTATTACCTTACCTTTTGCAAGCACTTTTTGTTTATGCCTCGTTTTTCCTGGCTCCTTGTGACTTGTGATTTCTGTTTATAGTTTGTCGGTGAGCTTTTTTCAAGTAGATAAATATTTTTGTTACGGATTTTGTTTGTGTCTACGTTTTTGGGATCCAATCACCATTCGGTTCATCCATGAACTGTGTCAATCAGAATGATGCAATTATTCACGCGAAAGGAGATCCAAACAAGAAGTGACAGTAAACGAATGAAGACATGGTACTTTTCAGATGGCAAGCATTTCTATACTATCAATCATTTGGACTGATTCTTCAGTAGTATTCACATTTTTAGATGGTTTGTTATCTGGAAGCTCCAATCATGGAAATGAGCAGGAATAACATCTTGAAATATTTCACTCTGCGAGGTGAATCTGTGTCATACACGTTTCACCTTTTGAAGTGAAATAAATTGTTTTTCATGGCAATCCAATTCATAGACATGGACCTGTATATGTCAATACAAGAAAGGCAAAAACGACAAGAACAGTGACAATACTTGGTGAACTCTCTCCAGCTCACGTCCCTGTGTGATAAATGTATTTACATTTGCCCCAGAGCTATACGTGAGCTGATTTGTTGGGAGAAATGCATAATTTAAAGTTTTAAATTAATATGATGGGCCTGAGCACATATACGGAATAAATTACATGTGATTATTTTTCCCCCCCATAATAATTTCAGAATTTTCATTGAGTGGGGAATAAGGTCATATGTATTCTGCAAAATAACATTAACCATCCACTGAAACAGCCTCATCTTTATGTGAATGGTTACCCCTCTATATCAACAGCACTTTGCTTTATTTCACCTTTCTCTCACACCACATCATTTGAGCAGGAACTCACCTGCCGAGCAAGCACAAGTAGAGTGATGAAAAAAATGAAGAGTGAGATAGAGCCCATAGTCTTCAGGTCTTTGAGGACTCCTGGTCTTGAAGCGCAGAGAAAAAGACAAATTGTTTTGAGAAAGCAAGATGAAACAAAGTATTGAGTTGGATTAGGATTAAAATGTGACAAATGGAAGTAAGTGTCGTAAGGGAGGCGAGGCTGGTGTCAAATAAATGACAACAATGCTTCATTCGCGGTGGCGACGGGAATGAGTCTGTCACAGGATTGGCTAACGAACTGTTTTATTCCAAGCTTTTACTCCATTAATACTGTCTCGTCTGTTTTGCGCTGACAAGAGCTTGTTTACAATTTGCATTTCTCTAGCTGAGCTTGTCTGCTGTGACGCGTTTTCCCCAAGACAGATAATAAAAGACAAAGAATATGCAGCGATTCGGGACTTGTAATTCACTGCAAGCTCTAATTACTGTCACATGCAAACGTGCCAGACTTGGTTTCCGTGTTCATCAATCAAGACCGTTTAAATGGTAATTCGGTAGGAAGGTAATGCGCTGCAATTCGACATCTAAAATCTTCAATTACACTGATTATTTAATGGAAGTTTCAAAAGTGTATACCACTCAAGCAAGCGCAATCATTTTTGCAAGCACGTTTTGCATATTAAAGAACTTTCAGCCTCATCAAGAGCTGACTTCTGCAGACAACTGCCTAGTTCTTTCTCATATTAGTTCTTGGCACAGAAGCAGAGTGGGTCAAGGGGGCTTTCAATAGAAGACCGGAGATGCTTGTGTTTGCGGCGGAGGGGACGAAAACCACAAGACACCTTGTCTGAAATTTGTTTGCCTGTTACGTTTTGACACGTTGCTTGTTTGTGAAGAGCGTTACTTGAATTACAGCCTAATTGGTTGACTCCGAGCACTGATTCCATGTTTTCCTTCTTTTTTTTTAAATGAAGGCTTACCCCTTTGAATGTACTAATTTTTAATCTACTCTACATATAATCACACAAGTCTTCTCTGTGAATGTCACAAACAGCAGGAGATTTACACGATCTGTGTCATTCCATCAGTTTTGGACAAGGCGAATCTTGAACTACTGCCTTATGTCTTTGTGGCATGATTGTAATAAGCTGTGACGGATCATTTTAAGGCATGGTTCCGAAAAAAAATGTGCCAATCAACCAAGCATAGCCCCGATTTGAACTCTATATGCAAAGAAATTGAAGTGAGACACATATTTTCGATCAGTGGATGCCTGCCTGCAGCAAGTACATTCTCAAGCACCATATTTTTTTCACCCAGAAACTGAGTCTGTTCTGATTCTTTCATATGAGCGTGGCCATCTTGGAGTCATTTTCCATTTCAGAGATACTTATTTCAACCTGTTTGGATATTTCAAACTCCCCATGAATGTGCTATGGGCTATTTTTATACATACTGGAAGGAAGGTCTTCATAGTACCATCAATACAGTATGACGACATAGCGAGTAAAGGATATAGAGTAAATATATCTAGGTTGCAAACACTGCTTTTAAAATTAGGGTGGGTTTATTCCTCTTAAAAAATGCAAATGATACTCGGGCAACGTTCAAAAGTTTTTTTAAAAAGTATGTGAAACTACTTCAAAATAGATGTACCTCAGCACTGCTTTTGTACACATTCTGTTGGCTTTTTACTGTTTAGTTGTTTATAGAGGTTGTATACATTTTTTTTTTTAGATTACTACTTTTTTATGGTTGTGAATTCTGCAGTGTTGGGAGGAACAGTGTTACATTTTTCACACGGATTGACGCAACGACTGAGCTGTAGGGACTGAAGAAGAACATTTTGTTGAAAATACTTTGAGGTAGAGTATGTACCAATTGGCTGAAATCCATATGACATTATGAGTTATTTTACACGACATTAAGTTAAAGCATTTACCACGGAATATTAATTTCGGGCCAACAGTATGTCTACCAGTTGTAGTTTAAAGTCCAATAAATATTAAGTTAGATGAAGTACCACTCTTTATTCTACTCCCGCTAAAAAAATGTCAGCATTCTTTGCCATATGTGAAGGTTTAAAAAAAACAAACCAAAACAAAAAGTAACAAATTACTTTCCATGGTACCTAATTATATTAATGAAGAGTGAATTCGGTGACTAATTCAATTACTTTTTTGGGGCAGAGTGATTATCAACCATAACAATTTTCTACAGGAATTCGCCCAACAATGTGATTCTTCCACTGGTTTTGTTGAGATGAAGTCATGAACTGACACAGTCTTCATTTGGGTGTAGAAGAGAAAGAAATTAGTTTGAGGAAAAGTGAGGAGAACTGTTTACGTGCCTCTGACACTAATTGAAGATAAAAGCTGACAGTTTTTTCAAGCTATTTCGACTTGATGGACTGGAAAGAAGACCTTTAGGTCCCGTTATAGCCTCCTTTTTACTTACCTTCACACAGTTCTAATAGCATCACCGTATAAATGCAAAAATCTACCTTGACTCACGAATCTTTCTCTTCTAATGGTCTCTTATTCTGAACACGCAAAAAAAAAAAGGTTTTGTTATCATGCACACGTACCTGAAAAAAAAAAAAAATGTTTTGTTATCATACACACATACCTATCTAGGCTTTCAGATTTGTACAGGAATCTGCTATATTCATCCAACAGCGAAGCGTGAGTTTGAAGAATTATGATGTTGTAAACCACCACGGCTGTCAACATGGTTATCATTTTCAGCTCATAGTTTATCCTCAGGAACACCGAGCACGAGATCAGGCCCAGAATGCAGCTGTAAATCAAATACTGCACAGACAGACAAGAATTATAACATTTTAAGACATATTAAAAGTAAATGTGGCTGGAAAAACAATGAGTTTCTAATCCAACGTATCGCTTACAGGAAGGTAGAAGTTGTTCTTGCCAGTAACGGCAGCTGGTTGTCCGTCTGGGTAAAGCTTTGTTTCATTGGACGAAATATTGACAGCAACTGGAGGCAACACGATTTCCTCCAGAAAGAACTACAGCAAAAACCACACAGAAGACAACATCATTGGCCTGGCATGTACGCATTCTCTAAACCGTTCTTGCAAACAGTTAGCGTTGTAATACTTGAGGATGGTCTTGGTCTTGAGATCTGTCTCAAGACCACATTTTGAAGGTCTTGTTCTTGCCTTGGACTCAACTCCAAAAAGTCTTGGTCTTGTCTCGGTTTCGGACTCGATACATAGAAACCAGGACTGTTCTGCTACTCTTAAACTCCATGAATGTGATAATAAGGAGCACACACAGATGAACAACCATTTGCGCTGACACTCGCACCGAGGGACAATTTTGAGTATTCCATTAACTTGCCATGTATGTTTTTGGAATGTGGGAGGAACCCACGCAGGCACGGGGAGAACATGCAAACTCCACACAGAGAGGCCGGAGCAGGAATCGAACCCTGCATCTCTGTACTGTGAGGTCGACACGCTAACTAACCATTTGCGCTCACACTCGCACCTAGGGACAATTTTGAGTATTCCATTAAGTTGCCATGTATGTTTTTGGAATGTGGGAGGAACCCATGCAGACACGGGGAGAACATGCAAACTCCACACAGGGAGGTCGGAGCAGGAATCGAACCCTGCACACCTCTGTACTGTGAGGTCGACACGCTAACTACTGGACCACCGGGGGAGCCCGGGAGCGATTTCTCTCTCAATTTAATTTGATTTTTGGGATCTATCTCTGATGGTCATATCTCTAATTATTTTTATTTTTTTTTTCATCCAAGAATTGAGTTGGAAAAAAAATGGTTTTGCATTGAGATTCGAACCCTGCACACCTCTGTACTGTGAGGTCGACACGCTAACCACTGGACCACCCGGGGCGCCCGGGACTGATTTCTCTCTCAGTTTAATTTGATTTTTGGGATCTCTCTCTGACAGTCATATCTCTAATTATTATTTTTTTTAATCTAAGAACTGAGTTGAAAAAAATGGTTGTTCATTGAGACAGCTACAGACACTGTGGTTTTTACATTCAAAAATGTATTAAAAAGAACATTAAAATCAGCGAGAGAATGCTCTCCAAAATTTCAACCATTCCTCAATTTTTTTTATGCTCAAGACCACTATACGAGACCAAGATTTGCGGTCTCGTATAGTGGTCTTGAGCACAAAAAAAAAAAACTACCAACAGTAACTGTGTGATCGTGTATGCGTACAAGTGTACATCAGAACACTGAATGTTTTTTTTTGTTATTTTATTTTATTTTATTTTCTTGCCGCGAGAGAATGCTCTCCAAAATTTCAACCATTCCTCCATTATTTTTATGCTCAAGACCACTATACGAGACCAACATTTGCGGTCTCGTATAGTGGTCTTGAGCACAAAAAAAAAAAACTACCAACAGTAACTGTGTGATCGTGTATGCGTACAAGTGTACATCAGAACACTGAATGTTTTTTTTTGTTATTTTATTTTATTTTATTTTCTTGCCAACCATCCATTATCAAAATTGCTGTGCCGAGTCACTGGGAACTTCAAACTATTCCAGAGGATTTGGATGAGAGATTAGCTTGATCCATTTAAAAAAACAAGAATCGACTGCACAGCCAACCAAAGCGAAGTTAATTTCGTTCAACTGCCCCGGGCTTCTGACCCATGACAGGCACAAAACAAGATTCCAACCTTCCAAAAATAATTTCTGGAAAGGTCAAATTCATCCTGATAATTTTGTAATTCATCATGCTAATGCAACCTCAGGCAAGTATTTCGCTTTTATCAACCACCATCTTAATTGTCCTATTTTGGTATCTTAACACAAAATTAAAAAATCTAGATGAAGTGTTATTAAAATAAATTGATAAGTGGGACAATTACAACATAAAAGCATAACATGGGAAAAGAGGACTTATATAAATAGTCTTTCCAAAACAATGACCGACATTTATTGTTGCGAGGCTTTTCAGAATCTAGCCAATTTAACTTGTCACATTCTGCCTGACTGAAAGGTCCTTGTTACCGGTTACATGAAACCACAAATCAAATTGGGGCCTCTTGACCTATGAACACTGCAGCTAATTTGGCCTGTGTGAGCTGCAAGCTTGTCTTACTGTACACCATTTTCAAGCCTAACTATTTCCCATTCCATCACAACAGAAAATCTACACATAAGAGCTTACCATGTTGAATACTGCCATAGTGAGGATGAGAGCGGTTGTTGTCAAGGTGAGTGTGATTCGGGGCCATGGCTTGTTGGCTATAATAACAGAGGACCTTAGCAGCCACATCCATGATGTGGGGGCGCTTTTGCTGCAGTGCTGCAGGAATACACACAGCAAGCGCATATATCAGGGACATATACGTTCTGGTGAACAATCCAATAAACGAATGTAAATAAGCACATTTAAAGATCCACGTATACATGTCGATTGTATTTATCTTGGGCGGCACGGTGGTCGACTGGTTAGCACGCCGGCCTCACAGTGCAGATCCAGTGTTCGATTCCGGCTCCGGCCTTCCTGTGTGGAGTTTTCCGCATACCTGTGTGGGTTTTCTCAGGGTACTCTGATTTCCTCCCATATTCCAAAAAACACATGCGTGGCAGGTTAATGGAACACTCTAAATTGTCGCTAGGTGTCAGTGTGAGCGCGAATGGTTGTTCGTCTATGTGTGCCCTGCGATTGGCTGGCAACCAATTTAGTGTTCCCCGCCTGCTGCCCAAAGACAGCTGGGATAGACTCCAGCACGCCCGCGACTCTTGTAAGGATGAACGGATTAGAAAATAAATGGATGGCTGTCCATGTATCTACGTATGTATCATCTGGGCTGATTGTTTTTTTGATACACAGATAATTCATTCAGTCATCCAGTTCGGTTTTTAATTCAATTTAAAACCTTTTGATGTGACAACATTCCGAATCAATTGTTTCATATTTGTGGATTTCAGTTAGAAATACATTTGTATTCTTTATCTAGTTTACGACTACTAGTTTTCCGAACCGCTTATCCTTACAAGGGTTACGAGCGTATTGAAGCAGGGTACACCCTGAACTGGTTGCCAGCCAGTTCCAGGTCCCATGTAGACAGACAAACAACCATTCACCCTCACAATCACACCTATAGGCAATTCAGAGTGTTTTAACCAATCATGCACATTTTTGGAATGTGGCACAAAATACTCTGGAGAAAACCCCCCCAGGCATGGGGAGAACATGCAAACTCCATACAAACTCTTTTTTTTTTTACTTTTGACTTGCGTGCAGGCAGTGTGAGCCTGGTTCCAACTCGGTGTGGGTGTGGATGTGGATGTGGATGGTTGTTTGTCTCTATATGTGCACTGTGACCGATTGGCGACCAGCTCAGGCTGTCGTCCGCCTTTTGCCCGAAGTCAGCAGGGATATGCTGCAGCACCCCCACCCGAGATCTTGTTCATGATAAGGGGTGGTGAAAATGGATTGCTGGATGCATTTTTGAGTTGTGAGTGAGCTCACAGGATTAAATTAAATGTATATTTCAAGCCACCACTGGATTTCAAAGATGCTATGAATTCATTTTTTTACACTACTGTTCATGATTCCATTTTCCAAACGTTTTGTTTATTCGGGTCTTCGGTGAGGTGCAGTCTACTTCAGCTGATGTTCAGCGAGAGGCGTGGTACAACCTTTTTTCCAATCAATCACAGAACGCATTTACAAAGTTAAAAGAAAAAGACAACCATTCACCTCACATTCATACCTCTGGACAATTTTGGAATCTTCAAGTAACATTACATCCATGTTTTTGGAATGTAGGAGGAAGCCGCAGTACCCAGATAAAAGCCACGCAAGGTGAAGGAAAAAGTGCAAATTCTTCAAGGAAGGCCAAGCTGACATTTAAACTCGAACTTCAGAAGAGTGGTGCAGACGTGTTATTGCTAACCACTATTGTCACCGGGCTGCCCACTACACTATTTACAAATTGGGGGGGGGGGGGAATCATATTGTGCAAAAAAATAAATTAATAAAAAAGAAAACAATACTCTTATGCTCTTAAAGACTGAACTTGTGATGCACTTGTACTGGATCTAACAAAAAATAATTAACAACAACAAGGCATTTGTGCTATCAAGTAGAAAGTGAAGTACAAAAGTGTCCAATAACAGATTAAACAAGGGAGAGAGTGCAATTGGCCCTGTTGAAAGAATTGATTGACACAGAACATGTCACTCACCATGAAGTGCCCAATGAAACATATGAAGACAATTATGGAAAGGAGAAAGAATGCCATCCCAAAAGATATTGCCAACACTGCTGTCCTGAAAAAAAATAACATGTATATAGCAAATCAGGATCATTTGTCATGATATTATTTTTCACACTACTGTTTATTCACTGTCATGCTTCGTGTCACAAAATCCACGTACTTTGGTAAGACGAGTATCTGCACAATGAAAATGCAGGAAAAGATAAGACAGGCGCAGGTGACGTAGTATTTGAAGGCTGGCAAGATTGTTGTTCTGTACTAAAATGATAAAAAGGGTGAGTTTTAGTAAAATACGTTTTTGTACATTTATGTGTATATTAAAAACAAAGGATGATTCGAAATGCATTCTGACAGCAGAAGTCATTGTTTCATCATAAGGACAATGTGAGATAACCAATAACCAAGAATTATTCTCCAGTTCTCTTGTAACCTTGACTACAAAGTACTTCTTACCTCCTTTTCCAGGGATTTATTGTGAAAGAACAAAGATATTCTTTGGATGTCCTCGGATTTAAGCCACTGCCTAGAAGCACAAAGGCCAGTCAATTGGGACATAACGTGGATAAGTTTCAAAATCAGGAATATTCAAATAAATTGAAATAGTCATTCAATTACCCTTACTTTTGTGAATTGATGCCATCAAAGGTCCTGATCATCCTCTCATTAAGTTCCTCCTCAAACCGCTTCTTCTGAGACTTTGTCCTTTTAACAAGAGCAAAAAGAGACCGAACATTTTAATTTGACACAAGATTAGTCATGCATGTCATAGCCTTCAGCAGAAGTCAAGAGTTATTAAAACTCCTGTCGTCCGACACTGCACTGCACTGTCGAGGGACGGAGATAATCCTTCTAAAGGAAATGATCCTGGAACAGTGAAACAAGTAGCTTGCCTTTCAGATCTCCTCTGGAAATGATACTGTCCCAGTGGCACATCCTAGAAGGAAAATGGAAATGAAGAGATCGCACACGGCAGCGAGATCCACCCATCATTTCTAATGGCAACAAATAATTAGTCAACGTCGAGAGAGTTGCTCACAGCTGTGTTGATCTTGCCATTCTCATTGGTCATGCTGTCCCTGTGGTGCAAGTTGGCGAAAGGCTTGGCAGCCCCCCAAGACTCCAGGTAGCGGGTCATCCTAACGGAGGCTCTCATCTTGGCTCCGTCCACAGTGTGCCTGGGCCTGTAGTGATGTTGCGGGCTACGACGTTCCACCTAAAAAAAATAAAAAAGATCTTGTGGAATTTTCCCGCCTTTTATTAGATCCGTAACAAATATTCAACATGCTCCATTACCTTTGGGTTGATAACCAAATATGTGATGACTCCATGCTCCTTCAGATAAGGGTCTCGCTCCTGCCCATCCCCATCTTCTACTTTATAGGCTGAATTTAGGTGTTCTAGTGTCACTGATGTGATGTGGACTCGCCTGGAATTACCAACAGACCCAGTTATTTGGGAAAGCTAAAAAAAAAATCACTTATCCTTTCTTGCAGACTATCAAGAATGAGATAGCGAGTGTCGATCTGATACCTCGGCAAAGCAATACAAAGAAAAGAGTATATCAAAATTGTCTTACTGTATGTATCGTTTTTTTTTTTTAATTCAAATAATGTATCCCAATGTGATAACTATTATGCTTGAATTCAGAAATTAAGAGGATTAAAAAATATTTTTCGACTGCGATACCAATCAGCTAGGAAGTATACGATTGACTCTGATGTCCAATCACACGACTGGCTCGGGACAACGCTAGTTGTTGGCTATTTTAACTCACCCTGGCACACCTCCTGCTTCCATGTGGTTGGCCAGCGTGACATCATGTGACCAAACATCATACTGCCATTTCTGAAGTCCGATGACCCCACACAGAACGTTCCCTGAATGCACGCCAACACGCATATTGATGTCAACCCCTGTGGCATCGCGCACTTTCCTGTCATGCATCAAAACCACACTTATAACTGTGGAGGAGGGAACAAAATCAACATCCAAACTGACCATTGTGTTGAAAAAGACAGCAAATAAGTCAC